CATGGGTATGGAACACGGTGCACGGGGACAATCGTTTCAATGTCCTAAAGCTGAGGGTATGGATCAGAAACCGGTTTCTCGTTCCAAACACCCCTCCTTCTCCAACCTCATAAAAAGCCACATACTCCAACCCATGGCAGATGGATCAACCCCCTTGTTTCATAGGGCATGGATCAGCAAGTTTGGAGTGGCCAAGCGAAGGCCGTGATCTTCCGGAAGCAAGTACGTATATGGTTGCGTGCAAAACGAGAGTGTTTAAGACAGAACGTAAACTTCAAAATTGCTGCGCGTAGAAGGGCCGAGGCAGACACATGATGGAATGAAAGGTGAGACCACCTTATCTCGACAGGCGTAATTCTGGAATCCAGCAGTCGTGTGCATGCTGCAAATTTTCAGTACCAGTTGCTGAGAGCACGGAAAGAACTATGCTGCAAGAGGTTGGAAACTAAAGTACGTAGCGCTGCTTGGCACCTTGACGTCATTGCATATTTGAAGCTGTTTGTATTAGCATCCACTTTCTGCGGCACCTTTGAAGAAACGTGAATAACATGATGAACTTACCAGAGAGCAGGGGGAACGTTTCCGGTAGGGTGCCCACGCAGGGATGACCTGAGTTTTTTTTCCAGGGGGCATACATGTTGTGATTGGGTGCTCAGTGCCTTGTGAGGTGTCCACGCAGCAAGCTTGCAAATTATTTTTTGACAAGAAGCAGAGGGATGAGCCCTGGGCAAGTAGCAGTTGGGCTTCTTCCGAGATTCTGCCCAGAGATGTTTCAGTAGGTATGATCATGCCGCGCGTTGATGTAGTGCTGGACTTCGCACACCTGCTAGGTCTGGCCCCTTCCTGATGCAGAATTTGCGCATCCAGTGTGAGCCCACCGAGGCTTTTCAAAGCATGCCAGTGTTCGCCCTCCTGACACATGCGCACGGCAGAGATGAAATGTGCAAGCAGGTGGCCATGAGGGAGTTTTTTGACTATCAGGACCACCGGCAGTGACATGCAGCCCCTGTGCCGGGGTTTGATTGGACTGACATGATTGCTACGTCGCTACGCTGTTGAAACTTCAAATGTTGAGTGTCACATTGGCCTTTACCGTATGATGGGGCTGACAGCAGTGTCTGCAAAGTTCCAATGTGCTTCTGCTTTGTCAGGGGAGTTTATGTGATTGCAGGCCACCAATGACGGCTGCATTCTCACAGCTAAAGAGCCCTCATCCGCAGCGATGCAGAGGCTTTACATGATTGATGTTCAAGATGACTTCAGGGCAGCCCATATGGCACACCTACAGGCTGGCTCCGAGTCGCTTGGGCCTCGCAGCCTCGATGCCTGGAAGCCCAAGTGAAGGCCCACAGAACTATCTGAGGGGCACATGCTTGCTGATCGATTCTACTAGCCCTTACTTGTAGGTCGGATGTAGATGCCTTCCGATTCTGCCAGGCGTAGTCCTTGAGTGGCCTTTCACGCCGCAATTTCGCATCATGAAGGCAAGCATGCGCGTCCGGAAGTCGGCTTCTGTTTTTCCCGTGACTTCATCGCTTCCATTGTGTTCCGGTTCACTTTGGGCTGTGCCCTTGAGAGATCTTGAGAGGCGGGCGAGCCGCTGATAGACGGAGAGGACCCTGGCCCTGCTGATGGGTTCAGCAGCTTACCTTTCCGGGCTCTATGACTTGACTAATTGCAGGTGTGCGCAACTTTGAGCACTTCCAATCCGCAATCCACAGCGCGGCCCCCAGACTCAAGTTTTTAGGATAGCTTCTAGAACAGTAAAATTATCAAGGATGCCGTTTGGAAGTTCTTATTAGGAAAGACAAGTTCAACATCTGGAGTTCGAAGCATGCTCGTAATTGTAATGTACACGTGATTACTTCTACAAACATTTCACCAAATAGAATTGGGTGCCATCTGTTTTGGAACTCGGTCCTGTTCCTCGAATGCGTGTAGCCTGAATGCGGCACTTTCTGTGGCTGCTGCATGGTAGTTACTCAGGTTGTAGTTTGGACAGGCGGCCACTTGCTTGAGGCAGGCTGGTGGCAAAGCTCTGCAAGCCCAGAACTTGACTGCGCATGACTGCACTGTTTTGCAGGCGGACCTGGGTAGCCAGATCCGCAACCTGCGGCGCGGCAACGTGTCTGTGGAGGCACGGCCTCGACCTTCCTGTGAGTCCTTGCTGCGCTGAAGTTTGGAGACCAACAGCTATCAAGGAGAGTGCGAGGTGATGCAACAGACGTTGGATTTTGTTGCGTCTGAAAAACGCCCTAAAGGGGGTTTGTAATACTGACCCCCCCCCCCCCAAACAGGTAAGGATTGTAAATAATCCGGGTCGACCAATCAAGTTTCGGCAAACTTGCATGGGGTGGTGTCTCGGGCTCTGTCAATTAACTTTCCATTGCCAGGGATTCTTCTGGTGCTCAATGCGAAGAGTTCGCTCTAATTCGTACCCTTAGTTATTGATCAGTTCAGCCAAAAGTTCGCTCTATTACGAACCCATTTACCATTGCGAACCCAACGTTAAGTCGTCCTCACCGATGCGCAGAAATGGACTCGCCTACGACCCATGCTGGTAAATCATGCTTGCGTCCAAGAACAGGCCCGTCCACAACACGGTGGGTCTGAGTCTCAGTGCGCCAGTCATCGAGTCATGACCTGCTTTGCAAGTGCTCCGTATTGAGGCCGTTAATGGATTTGAAGCTGGTTTGGCACGGTGCAGTGGAGTGGGGCCCCTCTGAGGAGGTGCTTGCCATACCTTGCTGATTGTTGCTGTGCAACTACATGCAAGTACTTCCCTGCAATTCTGCACTTCGCGCAAGGTGCAGCTCAGGATCTGGTGCCCCACTACGAGCCAGGTGCTTCAAAATGATGCAAGTTACCTAGCCCTGTTTTTGCATCATCACTTCGCTCCGGCAGTTGAGCACCTTCCGGGTGCGCATAGAACCGACGAAGCAGGCGCGCAGAACCGCAGAACAGTTGATTCTCTTGCCGGGTGAACAGATTGCGCGAAGATGACAACAGTTTGCTGTAAGATCGGACCATACGCAACTTCTTGGCTTCATTTGCATCCTTGTGGAGGCTGAGTGCGTCCAGCACGATGGCAGGCATTTTCTGCTCATGCATACAGTCTAAAATGAGATCTCAAGCAAGCCACTGCAGCTTTCACATTTCGCTTGTTGCGATGCACGCGTTGAGAGGTCGGTGTTCGAGATATGCCTGATGGCTTTGGCTGTTCTGGCATTGCTGTGGTTGCTGGCAAGGCTGGCAGCTGACACAACTGCTGCAAATCAATCTTGACATAAACGGTTGCACCCACAGGGTTCAGAGCCGGTATTTCCAAACTCGCTCGCCGTCCTGGTTTCATTTATACTGGTCATTCAGCCTTAGAACATTGAACAAAGTGCCGTTTGTGCATCGTGTCATCCATCCTGATTCCCTGATCCTACGGTCTGGCCAGTGCGATGAGAGTTTTGTCCGTGACCTTGGAGTGCAATGACGACTGTTTTCGGAGCCCGCAGGTCTTGGCTTAGACCATCACCTGCCGATGGACTTGGAGCAGCCTTTCAGGGCGTTGGCGCAGGGCCTGTTTTCAGCCAAGGGCTTGGTGTGATTCACAGTGAGGTCGAAGCCCCTGTGAACTCATGTGCAGCTAAGGTGCGAATCCATTCGGTGGCCCTTGTGCAGTCGATGCCTTGGTGGTGCTGCCCGTGGAAGTGGGCAAGGGTTGCAACGTCTGTAGTCTGGAGGCCTCGCCTTTTGATGCGCTAGGTCCAAGCCTCAAAGCCTCATTTCTTGTCTCATGTGACCTCGATCATACGAGATCATGACACTGCAAGGCTGAAGTCAGACTTAGCTCGGCTGGGGAAGACATTGGCCTCCGCCTGTGAGGGCGCGTAGCATTCCCGTGGCCATCATGAGACGGGTTCTCTCAACTTGCAGCAAGCAATCACCATAGTAGGTGACGGACGCAAGTGCTGATTCTATCCGAGGGAGCTTCAGGTAGCAAAAAACTGAGATAGTTGTGGGGTAGGCCTGGGCCTTAATTATGTTTGTGTGCGTGGATTTCGTCGTATTTGGCCCCGTGGCAAAAGCAGCTGGGTGCAGTGTGTTGGAGGTGATCGGCGCTTGACAGAATCACTAGAACAGAAATCTGTTGTACATCTGCATTCTTTTTTGTTCTTGCGTGCTTCTTCGAAACCTGCATACCCAAAGGAGTGGATCCTGGTCAAAGGACAGCGCCCAGCATGCCTGTCCAAGCCCCAAAGAAGCAGCAGCCAATCAACCCAACCCCAACTCCTGGACGGATCTCATGTCGAAATTCACCGTTTTGAGTGTATTCAGTCTAAACTTGATTGGGAAATCGATGGGAGGGATGTTGCAAGCAAGCCCCTTTAACAAAAAGACGATGCTTAGCAATTCCTTGCAAACATGCTTGAGATACGCCTCAGCAATACTATACTTCTCCGTCAAAGGAGTGTGCAACCACAAGCATTTGAAGAAAATGGAGAATGCTCAGCTAAACACGAGCAGACCGCCATGAGTTTTGCACAGCAATAGAAAATCCCTTGAACCTTGGCAAGAACAACATCTTAAGTGGGCATCCGTAGACCAGAAGCAAAACCTCTTGGGAAAGCAGACATGGCGATAGTCGCGTAATCTCGCGTGCATTTGTTTTGAATTGTTTCGGTTCGACGCATGTTAGACAACATGTAAAAATGCTGTCTACTCAGATTCTGCAAGCTAGTTTTGATGATTCTAGAAAGGTGGTGGGAAGATGCTGCTCAGAAGCAAGCGAGCCACGTCACCTGAGGCAGTAAAAGCATCACATGACTTTGGAAGCGCTGATGGCTTTGGACCTGCCAGCCGGCTCAAACTTCGCAAAGGAGCAGACTTTCAGACACTCACGTGGTACCTGGAACAACTTCTGTTCGAAGCAGTGGCCACCGCTTTGCCATTTGCTTGTGTTGTGCGCAACTGGTACGCACCATGATCAAACCGGGTTGGCTTGCGCCATGCAAGAAGACATCGAAAAGTCAAGGGCACGTTTCCCTCGATACAGGTTGTGCGAGCCTTAACTGCAAAGCAACCCTCAGCATGGCCGCGAACTCACTTTTCTGCCCAGGTGCAAGTGCTGCTGTGGTCCTTCCGATATAGATCACGACACATCCGATGCCTTCCAGTCGGATGACAACTTTGAGGAATGCATGTGGACACGCACGGCACATGTGGTCCTGTGATGTCTTGCGTCGTTTGGGCAGGAGGCAGCTCACGTTGACGTGGCAGACAAGCCAGGAGCATCTCCCTCAGAGGATCTCTGGTTGCAGAGGCGCTTCTGTCAGAGATAAGGGCGCATACGGTGTAAGGGACATAAGGGACGCAAAGCTATTTGGGTGTGGCAGATGGGGCAGCCTGGAGCCGCCGGGATCCATCTCTGGGTCCGTCAGTGCCAACGACTTCCAGGCCGCCCGCAAAAAATCTGAACGTCGGGCAAACCGGTTGAACCGGTTGCATTTGGCGTCAGGATGGGGAAGGTTCAGATGCCGAGCCAGAGCATCATCAGTTTCAGGCGGCTGCTCCTCTTTTGAGCAACTTGTGATGTGTTGCATCGGGCTGTCAGGTTGAAACACTCTGGCGCCCAGAGTGGTGTAGCCAATGCGATGCATTCTTGGCTGGTCTATGGGATCAAGGATCGCATACCACCACGCTCCCGTTTCACTTTCCCAACTGTGAACACGGGGTGTGGCTCGTCAGGACTTCGCTGCTCGTTCTGCGGGAAGCTTGTATGCCGAGCCGGCCTGTCTCCCATCTGGACAAGCCACTGGCGTAAAGCAGATCTTGGGGCAGACGTTTCCCTGCTTTATTAAGCCCTGAATTCGGAGAACGCCAGCCACAAAGCAGGTCATGCCTGCTCTGAAGTGGTAGCGCTCTGCGTGGAACGTAAGATGAGGCTCTGTGGGCTGCAGTGACGGGAGCAGTGCATGTGCCGACACATGCAGGATAGCCGCCAACAATGAGGCAAAGCTGAGATCCAGGCCTGTGCGGCATCGACTCTTGCGGAGCAACCAGAGATAGCAACGCTCTGTCTGTGGAAGGATTCACGAACTGGAAGCCTTGCTCGCTTCAAGAGGCCGCGATACTTGCCCTGGATACTCTACCTCATGCCCAGCATGTCGCCAGGTGGGATAGGCATGGCGGTTTCAACGCGGGTTCGCAGCCGCGAAGCTAGCCCCCGCGGAGAGACGCAGGACGACATCTCAAAACTGCGCGACATTGACATCCCAGCTTCGCATGCGAATCCTGGTATGCTTGACTTTCTTTAAGGAGCCTTGGACCTCGCTAAGTTCCATTCTCAGCAACCACCTGCTGTGATCGTGCTTGAGGACCGGCACACTGGACTCCAAAAGCTCAGGTTCAATCAAGCATTTGCACGGGCTGCACGGAAACTATCTGGCAAACGCCTTGCAGGCCTGCACGCTTTGCCGCGTGACCCCTTTTGTCTTGCTCTCTAGCAGATAGAACGATCAAGGATAATGGAGGCAAGTGTATGTCCCGTCAGGTTCCCGATGTTCAGGTCCAGGACTACTTGAACTCAAAGCCGTTGTTCTCGGCAAACCTTCCCCTGAGCTTACCAGAGGTGCGGGCAGCATTGCTGCGGCCATCCTTTTTAGAAGGCGTTTTTCGAGCAGACGTGGGTGCCTTTGACATGATCGGGTCCAAATGGGACAAAGCATCCCATCAGAGCCTGGTCACAAGCTGGGCATGATTTTGGTCTGGTTCTTCTTTGGGGAGCTTTAACCAAGTGTTGAGCAGTTATTGGGCATGGTGCCACGAAGTCCGCGCCGCGAGGCCGCACACGTCAATTCGTGGCTTCAAGTACAAGGTGCCAGTTCCTGATGACATTCCTTCAGCAGTTCGGGCAGTTCTGACGCTGCCTGACTATGCAACCTGCAAAGCATTCTGCCGCCTCCGAGCCAACGATCGCGAGGCTGGCAAACAGGATAAGCATGTACAGCTGCTTCATGAACTTCTCAGCCCCTTGCGACTGGATGCAACGATCAAGGTTGTCATGACTCTCCAGTTCATTTCAGAGGGAGTGCCTTTCGCTGACAACGTGCGCCTGCAGGCCTGGTGAAGACTGTTTCTCATGGCCTCAATTCAGCATGATGGATGAATACTCTTGGCTTATAGCCGAACAGCTTGGCGAGACTGTTGCGTGAGTCCTTGTGCAGCCCTTTCATTGCCTTCCCACCGCCCAGACAGCTGTAGGAAGTTTTGGTTTTGGTTTCGCATGAATGCACCTTCCCGATGAGGGAGTCTGGGGATGTGGGGTGCCTTCCAGCTACTCAGCAGTTCTTCGTGGGTTTTGCCAGATGCAGGTGACCGATGCAATTGTGCCTGCACAGGGCCAAGGCCGGGGCAGACTCGTAATCGCTGTCTTGCTGTTTTCGATTTCAGAACTTCTGTGTGTGCCAGCTGCGTGCCAGGGACGGTATTGAGAAGATGGGCCGTGGTTTTGTGGATCAAGGCGCGGTCCAAGGATGTCCTCTGCGGCCAGCACAAGAAAAGGCAAGCTTCTGCGCACCGATTGTGCCCAGGAGTTTCCATTTACGCTTCGTTTCTTGAAGAGCATCGTAGTGTCACAGGCAGGCCAGCAGTGTAGGTATTGTCAGGCCCTTGGTGCTCAAAACTGAGTTGAGGTCATGGACCGGTCTCGAAAGACTGCGCAGATTCTGATGGACCAGCTCCTCATGGCACGAATGCCGAGCGGCTCATAGCTGCTCGCATCTGTCTTGGCCAGAAGGCTGTTGAAAGCGCCTGTTAATGCACCGCTGCCTGTAGAGCGGCTCTCGCGAAAACTGCGAGCTACAAGCCTTGTTATTGCAGCTGCAGCGAAGCAGTGACATTGGTTTCCTACAGTAGCGTGCAGCGCGCGATGCAATTGTTGGCATCCATGTCTGTTTGGCAGCAAGGGCTTCTTTTGCTGTGACTCTGACGAGCGGCGACTTCCCATCTATTTTTTTGGCTCAGATGCAAACATGTTGTGGGCGGAAGGCTCGAGAGGCCTTTAACTCCTTGAAGAGATGGAGTCCATGAAGCGGTCGCCGACGTTCCTGGTGGGTACCGTGCAGTCGTGCTGGCCTGTACAATTGTCTCTTGTCTTGCGCGCCAATGTGTCGTGCCAGGCAGAAAGACATCCTTGGAGAGTTCCAGAAAAGGGAGCAGCACTACACGGAGGAGTGCGCCAAGCAGGTCTGATCTGACGTTTTTGCTTTTGTCAGCTTTTGCAACTGCTGATATTCAACATGCATGTAGAAGCCAGGTACTCGAAAAACAAGCCTCTGTGCTTCAGCGCTCGAGCTTTCCAACAACCTCATCCAGCAAAAGTCCGCATGGGCTACAAGGCAGAAACTGTCTATGTTCATTCTTGTTGAAATCAGCCCGCTTCAACTCAGACGCCAGGATGCTGATGCCACGCTGACATCTCCTATGTTATTGGGTGTCTGTGACGGCGTATCCCAGCTAGAGGAGAGCCCTAAGACATGTCTGCCAGCAACATCCCAAGAAAGCGCGGGGATTTGAACTGCTTCAGGGACGCATCATTTGCAGGAGTTTCAGATGGACCCGTCGCTGCTGCCAAACGAGCTGCTGCGCACTTGTGAGGACCTTTGTAGTGTTGGACCAACATCGCTCTTCGACGTCGTGCAATCTGGACAAAACCGCGAGCCCATGTAGTGTGCCAGGAGCTAGCAATGCTGCAGCTCATGCCCGACACGAACATCGCACCACAAGACCAGTGAGAACCCCGTAGAAAAAGCAGCCTCGCCGTCTAAAGTTCAACATGGTGCGCAGGTACAGAGGTCCCATTGCTCTTCTCAAGGAAGCGTGCCTGGGACAGCACCGTGGTCGTTGCGGCTCTACTCCCGGGGACCCCCCGGGGACCCCCCGGGGACCCCCGGGGACCCCCCGGGGACCCCCCGGGGACCCCCCGGGGACCCCCCGGGGACCCCCCGGGGACCCCCCGGGGACCCCGGGGACCCGTTATGAAGTGTCAATGCCTTTGACTAGGAAATCTGACCTGTTGCCAGGTATCAGGAAACCGCCAGCTACGGGCCAGATGCCTAAAACAACCTCGGCCATGACCGCACAACTGTTTTGCAAAGCAAAGAAGCGAGGTCAACCACGGTCTTGCTGGCAGCGCTCGACAATAGCACCAGGATTCATGGGAAGGTTCGCGTGGCTTGAGTACAGGAAGTACCGAGCGTGAACTGTGTGCTGTGAGTTGCACCCCATGATCGCGGTCCTGTCTATTGGCGACTGCGAACTGCTGATGCTGCCGTGAGCTTACTGGATGTCTTTCGCTCACTTCCTGCCGGTCTGCAAATCCCACATGGTATGCATGCCGTCAGGAGACGGACAAATGGTCGACAGTCTGAATTAGAGGCAGCTGAACCTATCGCCTGTTGTGTACCTTCTACGAGAGGTGGCCGCAGCAACTGAGAAGTACGCCAGGCAGTTTTCCACACGGAGATGCAGAGAATAGACTACAACGTGCAAACGCCGCTTCAGCTTGCACGGGTCGATGAGAGAATCGATGAGGACACATTGCTTCCATGTCTCGTTGCAGTCCGGCCCGCCCAATCCCTTGGACACGCGCTGTTTTGGATGCGGTAACTCACAGTCATGATTCACCCAGAGCTGCCATAGAGTGAGTAGCATTTTCTGTTGTGGCTGCTTCTGTGTTCATGGCCTCTACTGAAATGTGATTTGCAAGAGATCCTGGGCTTCTGGAGGAGTTCGATGAGTCCATCGCACTCGAGGCTCTGCATTAGCGTGATGTACACCAACTTATGACAGCGTTGCAGTTTTGCAGCACTTCTCTTCTGTCGCAGTTTGCTGTAGCTTGTCGGCTCAAGTTGCACTAACGCCCCACACTCTCTGGCCTCTCAGATCAGCAGCATGCTTGGCAATCTGCTGACAACATGCTCAGGGTGATAGGTCGACACCCGTGCAAGTCAGGCTTGGCAAGATGCTCAAGGGCTTTGCTTTCAAAATCTTACCGCCAAAGGACATTACTGGCGTGCCCCGTCCTAACTTCAGCTTGTGTGCTTACGCAGCACGTTTGATACTGCTGCTGCCAGGTCCTGAACATGATTGGAGTGCATCCGGCAGTCGTGACAGAAAACATAGACAGGCGGCGGTGTGACGGGGTGAAGCTGGAGTATTCACTCTGACTTATTCTGTTTGTTCCTGTTTTGCAATCATGCACTTCTATACAAGTCTGCGAGCTATGCCCTTCCCTGGCCCTAGGCCCTCAGCTGATAACGCCATGGCCTTCTTCAATGCCCTTGCGGAGTTTGGTTACGACATGGACCTCTCAATCCGTATAGCCTCCCCAGCTCATCTTCAAGTCATTCAAAGTGAGTGACCATTGCGAAGACATTTTTTGACAGCTGTCATCGGGTTCCAGAAAAACCAGTTGCAGGACTCACAACAAGTCAAAGCACAGATGCCGGCTGTGACGCCTCATCCAGAAATCTATGACGAGGTGCGGAGAGTGTACTTTTGCTGAGTCTCGGCTTTCTGAAAGATGCATCCGTATGTGAGGCCATGGATTTCCTCACGATCTTCAAGCTGTCAAGGCATCGGCTGCCGTGTTCATCTGACGCACTAGCTTGTAAGAATAAGGCAGCTGGCGATGATCAACCTTGTTGACGACTTCAACTTCAAGGACATTGCTCTTGTGTTGGGTGTTGCGATGGCATTGCCTTGATGAAGACCTCAGCTTCGTTTGCCTCCAGATCTGGCTGACCCCCTGCCTCCTTTGAAGGACTTCTGGGAGCCGATCCCAAAGCGATTTCGAGCTTTGCTGAGACACTGGGACTGCATCAAGGAGGGAGTCTACGCTTTACACAGCTTACGGCTTGGCAGCCTGAGGTGGGATGATCAACTTTTGCCGGTACAAGGAGGTGCATCGCATGGTGGAGCCGGGGAGAATGCAATGCCTGAGTGTGACTCATGAGTCTGTACGAGGCGAAGGTGGTCGTCATAACCGGTATGAAAGAGGAGCAGTGGGGGAAATTGCAGTTACACACAAGTTGACCAATTGAAACCGATCACGTGCTGTCACCAAATTGTGACAACTTAGCCAGCTTCCTGGCACATACCTGCCGTTTGTAGGACGTACAAGCCCTGGACTCCACAAGGCTTGAAATGGTGGACAAGCTGAACCAGGCGTGACAGGAAAAAGGGTTTTTCGGGGATCCCCCAACCTCGTCTATGCGCTGCACAGATTGATGTCGAGCTTGATGCGGCCAAAGATCGTCACAACTCAGAGCTCCAAGACATGTGGAACGCTGAGAACGAGGCCGTGAGGTTTTCCATCTGCACTGCCAAGCTTGCGTCTCAAAAGACAGGCAGCGGAGGCGAAAGCTGTCAATGACAAGCTTGCCCGACAGCGCAACTCTGCTGATCGCGTTGCATGCTCAGAGAGTCATGCCCTCGAACATACTCATATAGAACATCTGGGACGTGCTGCACGAATCCAATTCAACATCGGTCATGGTGCTCGGTGGAAGCACTATCAGCGGCAAACAACAGCCTTCTGTGATCACATGCAAAAGCTTGAGCTCAGCTATGCTGCGCATTTGTTGTAGTTTGACTCGGGCAAGGGATTGGGGGCTTCCCAGCATTCTCCGGACAGAATTGCAGTTGTAGTTTTTCTAGAGCACTCCGCGATGTCCCAACGTGTTGTAAGTATGTTGTTTGGATGATCCCCACTGACCCTCCGTACTCCTCACTGCGAATTCAGCAGAGGAGCCTCAACTGAGCCGCCAGATGATAGCACAAGTATCAGTCAGTGCTGGCATTCGGGATGCTAGCTAGCATTCGGGAATCAGAGCTGAGAAATGTAAAGATATACAAGGACCCTCGATTGCAATCAGCTGTCGAACCCCTGGTCAAAACAGGGCACTGAAACCATCAAAGAGACGGCGCAATGAACACCGCAACAGTTCTGTGACAGCACATCTTAAAGCACAGTAGAATTTCGCAAATGTCCGTTTTACTCATTATCTGCTATGCCGCAGCATACGCCATCAAAACCAGCGAACACAGGATCGTTTTGTTCCTGAGCGTGATATTCCGAGATTGATATTGCCACTCTATGCATAGCTTATGTCACGGTTACCTGAGTGGAATGCGAGGAGTTCACACAGCGATTGCCGTAATATTTCAGCAGTGATTTTTTACAGTCTAAGGTACCCTCTAGGTTGCTCCCTCAAGTCATACTAGCAGTCGTGTTAGTAGCCTTGAAATAGCCATGACGACGTAAGGACCTTGCAATACTGATGCAACTAATAGCGTTCTGTACCTGCTAACTTTGGGACAGCAGAAAAACTAACAAACATGCGTCAACGTATGTTGGAATTTTGTTTCCAAGTTCGAAACAAATTCAAAAAACATGCGGGTAACATGCGTTAACAATATATTGAGAACGTCAGTGTATTCTGGCCCAACATGGATGCAACAAAAATGCAAAAGAAGTAGTCTTCAATGCGAAACATTCTCTCGAACATGGACAAACTGTGAGTTTCCTGGAGAGTACATTTCCTGGGTTTCCTATGAAATGCAAAAGCAAGTGCAAGGAGCACACGCACACACTTTCAATGCATCTCCTTGGGATCCGCTGAGAATTCAGTGAACGCTTTGGACAAATGCTTCAAACTTTAGAACTTCTCGTTGTGTTTCCTGGAACGTGTTTTCCGCGTTCTTCTAGCTGACGCAACGCAAACGCAAAAACGCTCACTTTCAACGCATCTCCTGGGGACCCCGCAGGCCGCGCACAATTGTGCTTGAAAGGCACTTAATTTGACCGATGGAATGAGTAGCTGCGCTTCTAGCATAAACAATAATGATACTTTCCATGTGCAAAATCCGGCAGATTTGCCATTGTGAAGCAGTCATGAGACACGCATTAGAATTGAAGGATACCTTGTCCATTTACGCATGGGTCCTTACCTAGTACTTTCACACACGGCAAAAAGCTCTGAAGAGGATCATTGGCGGGACAATGGCCCCTGTCACGGCAGTTGCAATTGCTTCGCTCTTGCAAGCGTGTCGCCTGATCCTGCTAGCATTGATTGTTGCTGTTGTTGCCAGCACAAATCTGAG